GTTTTTGTGAACAGTAGAAGCTGACTTCAACTCCGATAGCTGGGGTAACCATACACTTGAAACCCAACCCTGACTGGATTCACAGAAATGTGGTTAATGAAGGCCCAGCAGAATGTAATATGTGATTGTCTCCAGGAAGAAAATAAATACAAGAAAATAAGTAACAAGGGAAATGCAAACTGGAATTCCACATACATTACAATTTCATTAAAAGTGAAAGGCAAGTAAAATTATGTCATTAAAAAAAAAGATCTTGAGACAATTCTCAACACATTCATATTTCAGGGCACATTTTACAAAGTTTCTCTGCTAATAACCATGTGATATGCACTAAAAACATAGATCTATACAAAGAAATTAAGATTGTAAAAAAAAGGGAACATCAAGATGAATTGTAATTTTTATCTTTGTAATTGTTATAATGTATGGGTGTAAAGTGATGCAACATGACGTATTATATTTTATAGCATATATAAGTGCAAACTGACAGTAAGAAAGACTGGTTGGAAGGAGGATTTCAAAGTATACAGTTACACTATCTCTGTACTTCCGATCAAGGCCATCACAGTATTTACATTATAATCTTATTATATACAATTCTTATTGTAAAATTTATGGTAATCCATACCATATTTATAAAAAGTGAATTATATAATCTGTTAATAGAGAAATAAACATCATAAAATGCTAATTTAAACAAAACTAAAAGAAAAAATAACATTGGTTTTAAAATAGAATTTATTATAGTTGCTTAAAAAAAGCAAGACCCAACTGTTAGCTTTGTACAAGAAAGTTATCCTATATATTCACAAATAGAAAAGATAAAGATGGGAAAACATGGATTATGAAAATATGAACCAAAAGAAAGCTATAGTAGCTGTGTACATTTCAGAAAAAGTAGACATCAAAAAACACTTTTAGGACTTAACAGGTACTACATAGGATAAAGTTACCAGTTTTTTTGAAAGACACCAAAAAAGACTTAACAAATGTATAATAGGTGAAGAATGCACCATTCATTGTGATTTACAGAACAAACGTGATAAAAGAAGTAAAGATGTCAGTGAGACCATGCATGTAAGAGTGCACGTAAAAACTTCCTCTTGAATTTCTCCCTGTTGCCACCCACAGCAGCCCTGGTCATGGAGCCTGCTGGACCAAGCTGATACTGCAGTCAGTGAAGGTGAATCCAGAGGCTTTGCAGGAGAGGCTCAGTGAACCGCTGGGCTGTACAATTTTTCCACCTCAGAGTCCACCAGTGAACTTCACACAGGTCTTCTGCAAACACAGAGGGAACAGACTGAGAACAGCCCCTGTGGAGCAGCCACAGCTGTACCTGATTCACAAGGGACACTAATATTGAGGGTGATGAGAAGGGAAGCCCAGATCAGTGCAGACCCCATGGTGAGGACACTGAGGAAGGGCATAGATGTGGGGTGGCTCCTCACCACGGCCTGAAGGAACAGGGGATGGGCTGCCTTTTATAAGGAGGGGAGGGGACACATTTCCATGTCTTTCTTTTTGTGGTCATGGGTGCACCGCTCAGCATTGCTCATCTATCCTCTGTGTCTACATTTCAGAGAGGGCAGGGTCAAAGGATTCTTGGGTCTGGATGCACAGGGTTAATCTGCCCATCACTCTTTCTCAGTCTCTAATGTGGACACTGTCCAGGTATCTTCATAGCAGCAAACATTATCGACAAATAAGACCAGTAAGAACATAAGAAATACGTTTCCAGAGAAAACAGGCATCTGTCTGTGATTAGTACATTTAGAGTTGGAAACCACTGTTCCTGACAATGAGGCAAAGTTAAGTTAAAATGAAAAAAAAATGTGTATCTACATCTTGTCTGGAAGGAGTTTTATAATTATAATTATCTTGATATCATTTTGCTACAAAATTATTCAACATTGGATATATGTTCTTGTGTCAGCAGTCAATGTGGAAATGTGTGTACTTATCTGAGTGAAGAGTTCACAAGGAGACATGTTTGCTTGTCTGAGACGAGAGTCCACATGAGGAAATGTCTGTTTTCTGAGGAAAGAGTAATTGTAAGGACAGATGTGGTGGTCTGAGGAAAGAGTCCATGTGGGGACATGTGGGTTTGTCTGAGGGAAGAATCCACATGAGGAAAGATGTGTTTTTCTGACAGAAGAGCCCACACGTTGACAGGTGTGTGTACCCATCTGAGGGTAAATGTCCATTCAGGGACAGTGTATGTCTGAACTGAGCTGAAGTTTGGGGAAAACTTTTCTCAAAGAAAGAAAAGAATGTTCTGGGTTGTTTGCTTGTCAGGAAGAAAAAGCCTGGGCCACATAGAAAGTAGATTTTGTCTTAATTAAAGGTCTTCATTGAATGGAAACATCATATATGCAAGTCAGGAAAATTACTTCATTCTTTGCTGCATGTATCTCATAACATTCCCATGGTCCCAAATACATTATTAGATAATTTTATAGAGTATGCATTTAATCCAGAGGTTAATGAACTGCTAAATATATTTTAATTGTATATATTTAGGTTTATATTTCCCATCACGAAATTATGAGCTTAGACAAATTAATTGTGTCATGTCTCAACCGTTGCATATCACTAGAATATTCTTACTCTTCTTAAACAGAGCCTGTTTTACTTATTTTACACCCACCCTCTAAATTCCTGGAATATCCTGTTTACTTGACTCTAGTTTTGGCTTTTACAGAATTTCAAACAAATGAAATGATATCGTGTAATTGAAATGACTTCACAGAAGAAAGTGGAAAATGAAGTTGCTGACATAAGTAACTTTGAAAATGAGGAGATTCTGTAAGTTTTAATTGTAAACCACACATAAGCACTCTATTCTAGTAGATAAACATGTTTCCTACAATGGTACAACATTACATTTCTGATGCTGCTCTGCATGTGTCCTGAAATTGTGCAGCTAAGTAATAAAATGGCATATGGTGGGATGGGATTCCTCACTTTGCAGTGGGTGGTTATAGACAGTCAAGGAAGGAAGACTAGAAAGGTCCATGTGGTAACATAGTTGGGTGGAGAGTCCAGTGTCTTCTCATTTTTAATGTAATCAAGTTACAGAAGATTAGATACATAAACAGTTTTGAAGTGTCCATAAACATGGGTTCATGTAAACATGCACATTTACTAGGCTGTTTCATTGAGAGGTCCCAGAAGTACTTACACCTCATTAAAAACACACATACCCAGTATCACAATATTTTATTGTAATATTATTCTTTAAAATCAGAAACAAGCACTCTTTATAAAAATGACTAATTCTATGTATGAAAAAGGTAATATGGAAAATGAGCTTAGAATTTATTATAATATCCAGGAAACAGGGAAGTGTTCAAAAACAAAAGGATGAGCTGTGCTGTAAGGATGCAGGATGCAAACTAAATCAGTGCCCAGCACCTAATAAAGCTGTGGCGATTTGAACAATAAAATGAATAATGTAGCATGGATCTTTTTCAGACTATGGAATAGACATCCATAAACCAATACGGTTATTAATAGATGATTAAATAAACAAACAATGGGAAGAAGAACACATCTCCTTACAGAAGTCTTCCAAATATCTCGGGAGGATAGTCCTCCAATCAATAGGTGAAGGCTAAACACTCATGAGTTGATTGTGGCCTGAGATTAGAGACACGGAAAAAAAAAATCACTAATAGTGTATTTTATAGTGAGATTTCACATATAATGCCAAATACGTGATCTATGAATGAATAATTTTTTTTGGTCTAAATTTGTTTAAACACACACACACACACACACACACACACACATACACACACATACAAACATTTTTCTTCAATATCCACTGATAAGGGAGAAAAAGGCAACCACAGACTGGGAGAAAATACTTCCAAGTCACATGTTTGTTAAATCAATCCTTTTCATTTGTTTTGTTTGTTTTTTTCTGTTTGTTTGTTTGGAGACAGAGTCTTGCTCAGTTGCCCAGGCTGGAGTGCAGTGGCGCGATCTCAGTTCACTGCAAGCTCCATCTCCTGGGTTCATGCGATTCACCTGCCTCAGCCTTCGGAGTAGCTGGGACTACAGGCGCCCGTCACTACACCTGGCTGATTTTTAATTTAATTTTATTTTTAGTAGAGATGGGGTTTCACTGTGTTAGCCAGGATGGTCTCGATCTCCTGACCTCGTGATCTGCCCATCTCAGCCTCCCAAAGTGCTGGGATTACAGCTGTGAGTCACCCACCCCGGCCAATTTTTTAAATTTGTTAAATGACTTTTATAATCAATATGCAAGTAAACTTACAACTAATCAAAAGAAAACAATGCAGTTAAAAATCAACCAAATATCGGGAGAGGCATCTCACCAAAAATTATATAAAAATTGTTAAATATGATTTTTTTATTAAGAACATGTGCATTTAAAGAAAAATTAAATACAATTACTCACCTATTAGCATGGTTAAAACTCACAAATCTCATGAGGATAAATGGCAGTATGAATGTGGAAAAACAGGAAATGTCATGCATTGATGGTAGGAATTCAAAATGTTACGTGCACAAAATGATAGTTTTTGGCATTTTTAAAATAGAGATAAAAGTAGAGTTAAAATGTGAACTTGTGTTTGTGTTCCAAAATATTTACAACATTGATTCAGAAATTGATGTTTACAAAGATTGATTCAGAGGAAGTTCTGTATCAGATATCTTAATTTGATTCATTCTACAATCTCTGAAATTTGCTTACGGAATAAATGCTATTTGAAAAATCTCTCAAATAACTAAAATCCCATCCACTCAAGCCCTTGTCCAAAGTTCTGTCGTACCCAATACAAAACATAACTGGTAAAGGTGTATCTGGAAGCCTTCCAGGAGACCTTCACTGAGGACCCAGGCTTCCTCACCTCAGCCCCAGACTGCACCAGCTGCACCTGGGAGTGGACACCTGTGGGGAGGACACAGGAATGGATGAGAGCCCACTTGACTGAACTCAATCCCCTTCTCATCACTGGGACTTGGGAACCCCTTACCTGTAGCTGCAGCCACCAAAAGAGGATCCTCCAGGTCCGATCCCTAATGAGGAGCTGTGCTCTCAGGGGCTTCTCTGGGACAGGGATGTGGTTATTGGGTGATGCTCTCAGGGCTGAGATATATACATAATTACCTCCGTGGATCTCAGGTTATTTGTATATTCATGAGTCAGAGCATTTCATAGCTCAAGACCCTGATCCAGGATAAGAAACAGTAGATGAATGACACATCAGCCTTACATGAGTGGGATTCTGATGGTCCAAGCACTAATCCTGCTTGAAGAAATGGATGCTGTACTCCATTTACAAACTTTTTGTGGCCAGTCGTCCTTTCACTGAAAAGCAAGCACCCAGAGGACATGCTCCTCACTGTGAACCCACATTTGATTAGCATGGAGACCACATGGATGATTTCTGGAACCATCAC